GTTGCATCAGAATAAAAATCTAGGTTCTTCCAAAGGGCTTTATCTAGCCAGAGTTTCCCTGGGCGGGCGGGTGGCCGGCGTGAGGCAGGCAGGTAGGCCAAGGAAGAGGCTTCCCCTTCAATCCCTCCGCCCCCAACTCGGTGGCAACTCAGCATCCAGGAGTCCTGGGGGGAGCTGGGCACAGAGAAGCAGATCAGCAGGTCCAGGCAGCTGCTGAAGCTCAGCATCTCCAGGCTAAAGGTGTGTGGGACATCAAGCACCATGATACCCTCCTGCTGGGCCACCCAAGGAGCCAGCAGCAGGTAGCTGGGTGCCAGGCAGAGGGCAAAGATGAACAGAAGCCCCAGCACCATGGTCCTGGCCGCACGCTGGTGCACCAGGCTCACATGTACCAGCAGGAAGACTGGGGGGAGGGGAGCAGCCAGGCAGCATGGTGGGCGGGGCCAGTGGTAGCCCTGGGTCTAGGCTGCAGCTGCACATGCTGATGAGTTCAGGCGAAAGCCATGGCCATGCAGGAGGACAGGTAAAAGACCACCCAGGTAGGTGAGCCAGAGTGGCAGCGTGAGCGTGAAGAGCACATCGGCCAGGGTTGGAAGACAGCCCCAGGCCCAGTGCCAAGGTGTGAGCCACGGGCACCTCCATGAAGCAAGAAGGGCCATCCCGGGAGTTGCAGCCGCCAATACCAGGTCCCGACAGTGCTGTTCATCTTGGACCTTGGGCTAGGGAGAGGCAGAGAGGTCACTGCAGAGGCCTACACTTTCCCCAACCCCAGTCCACCTCTTCCTCAGTCCTTGCTGGGAGGATACACTAGAAGAAGGAAACCCAAGTGAGTGGGGATGAGGACTGAGCTCAGCCACCACCTGGGGGGGAGGGAGGGAGAGAGAGAGGAATAGAGAAAAAGGGATGGACTTCAGAGTTATTTGGAGGTGAGTGGGCTTGATGACAAGCTGTGGGAAATAAGAGGCAGATGTCCCCGATAGCTTGGAAATTTCCAACCTGGTGACTGGGCGAGTGGAGGTGCCCCTCACAGAGGGAGTATGGTTCAGATATGTGGGGGCACAGGCATGTGCAGTCAGCCCAAGCGAGGCTGAGCCAACTGGAAGTTCCGAAGAAACCAGGCTCGCGTATAGAGAACCCAGGAAGGGCCCACGCCAGTGGGGGAAGTACCAGTGGAGGCAGGCACCAGCAGGGCATACACAGAGGACCAGACTATGATACACTGACCCAGAGGACAAGCCTATGCATAGTGACCTTGGACTTGCCTTAGTGAAGGTCCTCTCCTGGGCTTGCCTGGAGCACCTTGCACAGTACCTTTTCAGCTCTGTGCCAGGTACTCCAGCCTGTTTCCTACCCCCTAGCTTTTGACCACAAAGAAGTCCTGGATCTGACTCAAATCACTGGACAGCAAAGCAAAAAAGAACACAGGCCCTGGAATCAAGCAGATTCAAGATACACACATTTATTTGCCATGTGACCTTGGGCAAATTACTCAGCTTCACAGAGCCTGTCTTCTTCTGCTATAAAATGGAGATTAAAATACCTACCTCACAGTGCTGTTGGGAGGATTATGAGAAAACATAAGTAAAACTCTGAGCACTGTGGCTGCCGCTGGGGAGACACTTCATAACCATTAGCTCCCTTCCCTCTAGGCGGCACACAGAACTGTACACCCACAGAGGCACACACAGCACGAGAGACGCAGGCACCTCCAGCAAACAAAACAACACAGACATCTGGGTGTGTTCCTCCCCTCTCCCCAAGGCAGGTAAGTGCACAAGCCCATGTCCTGCTCCCATTTTGGACACACAGACAAACTCCTAGGGTGTCTCAAAACTCAGATCCTCCAGTACCACATCTGTCCTCTTGCTTGGACTCTCTCAGGTTCCAATCCTTTGTGGGATCCTGAGCGAGAGTATTCCTCTCTCTCTCTCTCTCTCTCTCTCTCTCTCTCTCTCTCTTTTTCTCTTTCTCAGTTCTGTCCACCATGGCTCTAGCTTCCAAGTGCCCCCCCACCCCACCCCAAACCTCCCCTTGCCAGTAGATTAGGCCTCTCTTACCTTTTGCTATTCCTCTCCCCCCACCCCCCCTCTCTCTCCCTCTCTCCCTTGAGACCTGGCTTTAAGGATCTGAGACAGAACAGAATCCACTTCCACCCAGACGTCCTCGGACATGACATGAAGACTGGGCACAACAGCTGGAGTGGCTTGGGTCCATCTGTGGCAGCTGTGAGCTGGGTTTGTGGGGTGCGGCCAGGGACCCAAGGGAAGGGAGTGTCATTCCATGACGAGAGGACACAGGGAGGAAGATAGAAAAGCATAAAGAAGTCCTGGCAGCTGAATGTCATTTGTGCTTACCTGAGCTAGGCTTCAGCTGTGGTTTGGGGGGCACATTTCTTGGGGCCGGGCTTCTCCTTGGGCTGAGGAGCTCCAAGAAATGTGCTCCCCAAACCACAGCTGGAGCTCAAGATATTCCTGCTGCTGTCAATCTTAATTGCTCCTCCTCACCAGCTGGCCAGCCCACTCCTCTACGCCCTGCCTTTCCTACAGCCAAGCGTGAGGGCCCTTAGCAACTAATCAGCTTACAGGCCAAGCCTTGGTAAACAGGAGTCCTCAGCCTATGCCAGCAGTGAGAGGTTTTACTCAAAGTCCTGGCTAGAGACAGCCTGTCTGTGGCATTCTGGGAGCCACAGATTCTAGGGGCTCCAGGCTCTGTTTTCATGGGCTCAAAATGTTCATGCAGAGAGGCAATTCTGGAAAGCAAGGCAGACTTAATCACATTGGGCAGATCATCCCGTGTACCCTCAAGTTGAAGAGAGCGGGAGTGCCTTGCCTGCCCACTTCCGACTTTGACAGCTGGCGCAGTGGAAAGGGTGCATTCTGGAGTCAATCAGGCCTTAATTCTAGTCTCAGATCTGACACATGGGCACTTAAGCTTTCTGAGTCCGTTCTCTCATCTGTAGAACAAGCCAGTGTTTAATAATAGCATTTACTGAGCACTTATTATGTGCTAGGCACTACTGTAAACACTTCAGCCCACTGAGTCCCCAGGGCAACGCTGAGTATTTACCACCAGTAAACACATTCTGCAAATAAGCTAGTGAGCCGCAGAAACCCTGTCTACCCCCTCCCTTGCTGACCAGAGTGGTAAATCTTAACTAGTTCAATGCCACCGTGGGAAGTTCATTCTCCTTGCTAGTGTTGGGCCTCGTAATGAAAATGTGACATAATTCGCCGAGACCGGTTTGGCTCAGTGGATAGAGCTCGGCTTGGGGACTGAAGGGTCCCGGGTTCGATTCCGGTCAAGGGCATGTACCTTGGTTGTGGGCATATCCCCAGTGGGGGGGTGTGCAAGAGGCAGCTGATCAATGACTCTCTCTCATCAATGTTTCTAACTCTCTATCTCTCTCCCTTCCTCTCTGTACAAAATCAATAAAAATATATTTTTAAAAAAGAAAAAAAAGAAAATGTGACATAATTCTCACATTTCATAGTGGGTTGTGAGGGGAAACCTAAGGGTCTTCTAAGAGAGCTTTCCTTTCTTTTCACCTTTGGGTGTCATGTGCAAGTGTCCACGCTGGAGCTGCTGCCACTATTATGCATCCCTGAGAGCAGAAGCCAATAAATTGAAAGCAGAGTGAAAAGTTAAAAAAAAAAAAAAGTATTTGATGTCATCATAAAGCAGCCTACATTGAAGCTATGTTAGCTCTGGACTTCTTATGTGAGTGATCGCTTCCTTATTGTTTTGACCTCTATATATGTAGTGTGTGTACACTAATGTGTGTGTGTGGGGGGGGGGTGTTTGTGTGGTAAAAATGGTTGGTAATGTGACAGAAGGTACCCTAACATGGTCACTTTTCCTTGAGCATAGCCACACACACACATCCTTCTGACTCCCTCGGACCTTTGGGATTCACCCCGGGCTTCCGGCCTTGCTTTGGCAGGCAGCACCCCTCGGAGGTGACTGTCCCCTGCCTCCATGCAGGTTCCCAGGAACACTGCACTGAGGGTCCCACCTCACCGCCAGAGGCTGGCAGTTTCAGGTTCTTTGTTAGTTTTGCAGAGCTAAAGTGCCCAAGATAAAAAATGGAGAAGGGAACACTTCATGAGGCTCGGAAGGGCACACGCAGAAGCAGGCACTGGTACTCTGCCGCACTCAGGGTGTAAGTGACAAAAGCCTTACAAACATGCATGCCTGTTGAACCAGCACTGACACCTCCAGGGAAAGAAAACAGGTATGCAAAGGTGATTCACTGAGGTTTTCAATAGCAAAAAATTGGGAACAATCCACGTGTTCCTGCGAGGGGGCCTGAGTAAATACATTACAGTACAACCTTCCCGTGGCACACCACCCAGCCACTAACAACAAGGTAAAACAGACATGGTGTATTAACTTTAAAAAGCCAGTCATAGCCGAAGCTGGTTTGGCTCAGTAGAGAGAGCATCGACCTGTGGACTGAGAGGTCCCAGGTTCGATTCCAGCCAAAGGCATGTACACTGGTTGTGGGCACATCCCCGGTGGGGGATGTGTAGGAGGCAGCTGATCGATGCTTCTCTCTCATTGACGTTTCCAACTCCATGTTCCTCTCCCTTCCTCTCAGGGAAAAAATCAATAAAATATATGAAAAAATAATAAGTAAGAAATAAATAAAAAGCCAGTAATAAAATAGTATATATATGGTCTCGTGCTCATTCTTTTAAAATCTGTATAGAAGCATAGAAAAGTACAGTTAAACAATGGCATAGAAAATAGGTATTTGGGGGCATTAACATTGTGGCCTAACTTTCTTTTCTGCTTATTTTCACATGACAAGAGGAATGCTAGGAAATATCAAAAAGAGCAGCCGATGTCCCAGAGGGAAAGTTGGCCCAGGTAGACAAGATGTCTATTTCAACGGTGGCCAAACTCTGATCCTGGACATATTGTATTGGGAACAAGGGGGTTGACTCCGTGTCCCTCGGTGACAGTGACATGGCACCGAGAGGCAAGAGGTGCTCTTACTCTCAGGATCCCTTGGCTAAACTTGGCATCTTCTTCCTTGTGGGACTGTCCACCTTCTCGGTTCTGACTAAGAACTGGCAGATATCCAGCAGTACCAGGAGCACCAGGCAGACGACAGCCGGGATGCAGGTGTTCAGTGACTCCTTCAGAGACACCAACGTGAAGATGGACCCTGGAATGGAAAGTCAGGTCCCTGAGGCTCCCTGGGCACCCAAGAGGTCCAGGAGCTCAGGACTCTCCAGCCTAGGCTGCCCAGCTCAAGTCCTCCCCGTAAGCACCCCCCGGGGACACATCCTAAACTAGGTGTGTTTGTTTCCGGGGCCTTCCAGAAAAAGCAGGACCACTTTTCCTTGAAGCTTTTTGAATCAATGGAACCCCTTTCCAAGAGCAAGAAAGAAACAGAAACAATCCAGCCAAATAGGGCAGGAAGGTGGCTAGACAGGCATTTGGGAACAAATTCTCCCTGCTCCAACTCCTTTCCTAATCCTACTGGAGGGAAGGAGGAGGCCCAGAGGTTGGTGGAGGAAGTGAAAGAAAGATCTGAAAATGAGGGAAGCTCCTGCGATGGAAAGCAAGGCTGGGGGCAGGATGGTAGTGGTGGCAGCGATGGTGACACAAGACCCAGGAAGAGGGGGGTGTCAGTATAGAAGCAGCAGCTGTCTTTGTACATCAGCAGTTCCTGTGAGCGTGAGCTGAGCTGCTATGAGGGGGGTCCCTCCAGGACTTCTAGTCCCAGGCAAATTCTCTGCCTTTCTGTTCAGGGGGCTCAGCTTCTTGGTTCCCAACTGCCAGACACATGGGTCAAGTGGCAACTGCTACTCGATCCTCTCATCTCAGAGGGGTTTTAGGTTACATTAGAATACATCCTTGTGATGGCATATCACACAGCCAACAGAAATGATGAGATAGACGGTCTAGTTGACATAGTGTTTCAGTAGATTATGTTTGAGAAGCGCCTGCCCTAGTCTGAAGACCATGGAAACTGTAATACAGCAGGACGTGCTTCTGGTTCCAGAGAAAAAAGGGGGGAGGGGGGCAATAGTAACAATAGTAACGGGGAACAGAGGAACAGCCATGCCTTCCCATCATCCTCCCCAGGAATCCCTCCTTCCCCTGCCCAGGGGGACGCCCCTTACCCATCATGAGCACGATCAAGAGAAAGTTACTGATCTCCTGCAGCTTCGGTGGGCCCAGGGCCAGCAGCAACCCAGCCAGCAGCTCCAGCCAGCCCACCGTCACCTGGTAGCTCATGGGATCTGGCTGGTAGCCGAACACCTTCAGCGGGAACACCTCGGCGAACTGCTCAAACAGGGCTTTCTAGGGGTGGCAGGGAAGGCCTGTCAGCCACTCGCCAAGGATCCCCTTCCTAGCCACGGGACGGGGCATCTGGTGCCTACGTCAACTACCCCTACTCTAGCCCAGGTCCAGGGCTGAGGTCAGCTGGGAAGGAGAGAGCCTCCCTGGGGGAGAGAGGAGGGCCTGAGCTCTGCAATCAGTAAACGGGCTTTATGCTCCAGGGGGAAGGGCTGGATGGTGATGCCGAGATGGACTGAGACTCTGCCCAGCCCCAACAATTAAAGGAAGAGGAAGCAGGGCTTGAGCCTTCTCCTCTAGTGCCAAGGCCTTGGGAATGCCACCACGTCTCTTTATGCCTGGCCTGGCTTCTCTTCGGGTACTGTGCAGCGACTATTGGCAGTTGGGAGAGAGGATGGAAGGGCAGATGGTTGCTCATTAAACAGATTCCACTTTCTACGTCATGTGCTGGTGCCTGGATCCCACTGCAATAGACACAAGGGGAGTCGAAGGGGCTCAGAGCGACTCATCTTGCTGAATCAGGCTCCGTGCGGGGCCACATGACTTCATCCTGATCCTCAGGCTGGCTGCCTTTTCCTGCTCAGTGATGCAAGGAGGCCCTAAGCTGTCTGGCTCTAGGAATGAACCTGCCCAAACCCACCACCTTAAGGCAGGAAAGAAGGGGGGAACCCAGTTTTGGAAGAGAAAGCTCCCAGGGTCTCCAAGCCTCCCCCAACTGGTGGGCGGAGTTATGACATTACTGGCATCTGCCACAAAGACATCCCCAAGACATTGAACCACCAATCAGCGCGTGCCAAAGTGCCCTGGAGCCTACCCCTTCCTGTTCAGCCCTGGGCCTAACCCTTTCCTGTTCCTCCCCTCAAAAACACTCCCCAGACCCGCCATGTGCTGCTCTCTCCATTTCCATCCATGGAGGCAGCCCGGCTGGGTCCTTTCTCCTCTCCCCGCTTCTTTAATTCAAATTTCTCTACCTCCCTAATGAGTCCCGCTCACTAATGGGGAATAAACTTAACTTTAATATGAGGGAGAGAACTAGACAGCAGGCCTAAGGGCGACTTCTAGGCCTCCCTCCCAGTCCATCTTCCAGAAAAGGGCTCTCTGGATTCTAAGTTAAGAGAGTGTAACCTTTGGCCTAACCTGTTTGGCTCAGTGGATAGAGCGTTGGCCTGCGGACTGACGGGTCCCAGGTTCAATTCTGGTCAAGGGCATGTACCTTGGTTGTGGGCACATCCCCAGGAGGTGTGCAGGAGGCAGCCGATTGATGTTTCTAAAAATCCCTATCCCTTTCTCTCTAAAAAATCAATAAAATATATGTTTTTAAAAGAGAGAGAGAGTGTGTGTGTGTGTGTGTGTGTGTGTGACCTTTGCACTTCACCTTCAGGGCGGGTTTTCTACCCTGCCAAATGGGGATTAATAAACCCTGCCTCACGAAGCTCCCAAGAACTCGAGCAAGGAAGAAGCTGTGTTTCTTTTCCACCCCATCTTCCTCCCCGGGGGTCCCGATTCGCTGGGGCCACCCACGCTCCTCTGGAAGGCGCCTTCCCGACCCTCCCGTCTAAGGACACTCCCCGCGGGGCATCAACGTCCCCGCCGACGTTCTGACGCTCTTCCCCAGGCTCTAGCGCCCTCTGGCCCGAAGGCGGGCGGTCGGCGGGGCCCGAGGGCGGGGCGCACCGGGGTAACCGCGGGGCCCACCCGCCGCGGCCCACGCCGCGCCGCTCACCATCTGCTGCGCCGCAGAAGCCGAGACCTGCTCCGAGAGTTTGGCCGCCCCCGTGAGCGCGAAGAAGCCGCCCAGCAGGACCCGCAGCGCGGCCACCAGCAGCGCCATGGCCGGCAGGTCCTCCGAGGGCGGGCTCACGCGCCCAGTCCGGCCGGCCCCAAACCCGCCCCTGCCTCCGCTCCACTTCCTCCCGCCCGGGGCTGGAGAACGCGCGAGGGCTTCCTTCCCTCCTCTTCCAGGAGGGCGGCCACTCTCTTTTGTCCCAGGACTGGGATGGGGGCGGGGAAGTGGGGGCCGGTAGGGCCGATGGACCTGGCCTTTTGTCTCAAGCCCGCTTGCTCCTGACTGACTCTAGGAGCCCGAGTGAATTTAGGAGAAATGTGTCTCCCAGTCAGCCCGAACAGAGAGGAGTTAAACAGTGGATCTGGAAGTGGCTTGCAGGAGGGCACAGTTAGTCGGGATGCAGAAGACCAGGGCCTCATTCCTGCCCTTAGAGATCTGAGCTGTCACCTATCCCCGGGCGCGCCGCAGTATCTGCTTCTGGAAGTAGGAATCGTGCTGCATCAGTCCCCCGGAGTCTGTGATAGGCCTCGCACAATGCCTGGCACATGTATGAGCTCAAAAAGTTATTTGCGAAGTCATTTATGAAATTATTAATAATAAATCAGTAACGAGTCATTATAAAATGAATTGCTCTTCTGTATCGTTGCTTGAAACATAGCTTCTAATTTCTCTCAGCTGAAATCAAAATGTAAAAAAATGTGTTTGAAAATTCAGATCCTTGTGACACTCTGGGCAGTTAGGCAGGAGCAGTAGAAATGGGCCAGGTACAGGTCACCAGGGTGGAAAGCCCTAGGTGCCTAGCAACGGGCTGACCTGGGAACTCGCTCCCAGGGTGACCTCACCTCCCCTCGCGTATCTCGGGTCATGCGGTTTAGACCCCTGACCTTTCATATCACTGGCGTGCAGTTGGAACTCTCCCAACATGTCACTAATCCCATGGTACATCTCCTTAGAGGAGAACAAGGTGGGGGGAGGGGTGTGCGGGGGGGCTGGACAATAGCCTCATTTGACTCCCTTACGTGTCCACTCCCTTAAGCATTAAGGCCTCCGAACAATGAGGCTCTGAACCACATAAAATATGAACAAAGCCTCAGGTGTGTTGACCACAGAGACAGAGTTTTGGTCAAACTACAATAAATAACATCTAGGCCTCAGTTGTGTTTCAGCTCCAGGCCCAGAAGAGCAGCAAGGCCAGGCAGACAACACCATAGCGGACATCAGGACCAGCTGCAATGACTAATGACCCCCTCCCTGCGTTGGCCCCAATCAATCAGTGGAGACCACAACCCTGAGGAGCCACACCAGGAAAATCTATGAATACGCTAGAGATCCTCCAGAGACCACGAGATAAAAGCCATTAAGAGGAAAGCCCAGCTGAAACCGGTTTGGCTCAGTGGTAGAGCATAGGTCTGCGGACTGAAAGGTCCCGGGTTTGATTCCGGTCAAGGGCATGTACCTTGATTGCGGGCACATCCCCGGTAGGGGGTGTCAAGAGGCAGCTGGTCGATGTTTCTCTCAAATCGACGTTTCTAGCTCTCTCTCTCTCCCTTCCTCTCTGTAAAAAATCAATAAAATATATTTTTTTTAAAAGAAAAAAGAAAAAAAAAGGAAAGCCCAGTACATGATGGTGCTCATACTCCTATTCTCTCTTTTCTAGCCTTTCTCCCCTCCCCCCATCTCTCTCTGTGTGTCACACACACACACACACCCCTTCCCCCCCTTCTCCATCCTCCAGGCGTCTTTTGTCTTTCTTTCTCCTATGCTCCAAGGGCCCCTGTTTTGCCTCCATAACTTACTTCCAGGCACCACGCAGCTGGTTGGCTCACTTCTTCCACAGCTCACTTCTACCCCTGTGACTTTCTAAGCGAACTTGCACTTGTATTCGAATTCCCTAGCTCTGAATTATTTTCTTAGTCGAACTCAAGGACCAAAGTCTAACATCTGATGCAGTTCGCTATTCATACTTACGGCTGAGAGAGGTTTTCACAAAACAAATCTCTATAGGCCACTCCTGGCACATCTGACTTTTACCTGAAAATATGTCTAGACCTGGATGGGCAAACTAGGCCAAATTCGGTCAGTAGAATGGGATGTATTTTTTACTCCCTCCTCCTCCACCAATTAACAGTTCATTTGTTTACACTAGAGGCCGGGTGCTATGCACTGGTGGGGTCCCTTGGCCTGGCCTGCGCCCTCTCACAATCCAGGACCCCTCAGGGGATGTCGAACTGCCAGTTTCAGCCAGGTCCCCACAGACCAGGCTGAGGGACCCCACCAGTGCATGAATCCGTGCACCAGGCCTCTAATAAGATCTTTGGTTAATCTCTTCTCGCCCTTCCCGCTCCCTCCTTCCCTGTGAGATTCAGTCTGTTCCACGTTTCCATGCCTATGTGCTGAGCATCTGCCCCTGGTGGTCAGTACACATCATAGTTACCAGTTGAACCGTCGAACGGCTGAGTGTGGGAGGCAAGTAATCTGTATCTCTCTCACATCAATGCTTCTCTCTTTTTTCCCCATTTCTCCCTCCCTCCTTTCCACTCTCTCTGAAAAGCAATGAAAAAAATATCCTTAGGTGAGGATTAACAAAACGAACAAAAAAATCACTATCTGGCCCTTTATGAAAAAAGTCTGCCAAACCCTGGTCTAGTGGGCTAGGAGTCTCAAATTCTGCTGTTTTAATTTCCTATTCATTAAGCTGCTTGGATCTTTTTTTTTTTTTTACCTACCACAACCTGCTATAGGAGGAGGCAGGCTGGCTGAAAACAAACACATCCCACATGCTTCTAAATGCCAAGCAATTTCAACATCCAGGTGTGCTATTTATAACATTATAAATTGGACCTTTCACTACCTACATCTTTGTCATTAATCCCAATTATTTGATCAGTCTATAAAATGACATACAATTATGTGTAAATGTGAAATGATTAAATTCCTCAACAAAAAGTAAAATTATTCAAACATTTAATCACTGAAAACACATAAGCACATTAGGAAATTATATTTTAGGATACTTATCCCATACAAAAATTAACACAAAGTTATAGAATTTGATAAGCAATATACACATTTACTATTCTTTCTCCTTTACTAATTTTTCAATCCTTGGAATTAACGATGTGACTGCAAGTCTTAGGGCAGGACCAGAAACCAACAGATTTCTTTGTTTTGACTCAGTCAAAGCTGAAAAGGTAGCATCACATAAGTAAGTATTTGAAAAAGGCAATAAAAATTTCATTGCCCTTTCATGGAGTTCTGGGTAACCTGTCTTTGCTTTTATCCAAAACTGAGTTACAGGCATTGATTTAAATACTGATTTTAATTCTAAATCTGAAGATAACTGTGCTAGTTTTTCTTCTTCCAAGTCCTCGGGATTACTGTTTCGATGATACATGAAAGGATTAATTATCCACAAATTGCCCAGGCGCAAGTCTTCTTCTGGTGGATAACAGTCACTGAACATTTGATAAAGTCCTTCCAGGTGCTCAAAAACAGTGCTTGAAATGCTTCTCATATTTAAGCAGGATGAGTTGGAGAATTCGGAAAATGAAGGAAACATGTCATAATCATTCTCTTGTATGCGCTTCAACCACATTTTTAACTTTTCTTTAAGTACGTCCATTTTATTATACAAATTGAAGAGTGTAGTCATACTTCCTTGGAGGCTTAAATTTAGTTCATTTATAAGTGAAAAAATATCTGATAAATAGGCCAGCCTTGCCACCCATTCCTCATCAAGAAAATACTTGGCCAAATAGGAATGCTGCTGATTTAAAAAAATTTCAATTTCATGTCGTAATTCAAATAGTCTTGTTAAAATTCTCCCTCTTGATATCCATCGTATTTCAGCAGGAAGTGGTAAATTCACATAGTCAGAACCCATCTCTTCACACAAAATTGTTAACATCCGTGAATTCAAGGCATTACTCTTTATAAAACTTAAAATTTGTGCTGACTGCAAAAGAATTTTATGTAAGCATGGAGACAATTTTTCTGCTGCTAAATGTTCACGGTGAATAAAACAATGTGTAAATGCCAGTGTATTCATGGCAACTTCATGAATTTTTTCCTTTAAACCAGAATACCTGCCAGTCATGCTTGCAGCTCCATCTGTACAGAGACCAACACAATATTTCCAATCCAGAGATTTACTCTGAATATATTTATTTATTAGTTCAAATAGTTCAACACCAGTTATTTTAGAAGGCATTTCAATACAACATAATAATTCTTCTTTTATATCACTACAATCATTATCAATGAAACGAATATAGCACAAAAGAAGGGTGGTATTTGAGATTTCTGAAGACTCATCTATCTGAAGGGCAAACCACTGTGAATCTCTGACTTTTTGAATCAGCTGTTCTTCAACATCTGCAGACAGTTCATCAATCCTGTGTCCGATCATATTATTAGAAAGAGGAATGGTTTTCATTTTGTCTCCAGCACTTGAACCCCAAACTTCTGAACACATTTCTACTAAGTATGGTTTAATTAACTCTTCAGCAATGGAGAATGGCTTCTTGCTGGCAGCAATTTGGAAAGCAATTAGATAAGAAGCTTTCACGAGTGACTTTTCAACTAATAAACACTTTTTAAAAGAACTATTCTGATATTCCATTTCAAGAGATTTTTGTTCAAAAAAACCTACTGGTTTGTTTTCCAATTCTGAATGTTTTGTCTTTAAGTGATGAGAAAGATTTGCTGGCTTCATGTGTTCAGCAGATAAGATTTCTCCACAAATGACACACTGAGGCCGTGGTGAACTTTCTTTTGATCCAGGATAGATAATAAAACCAACTTTTAAATATTCTACATCGTAAGTCTGAAAAATATCTAATTTTTTTTTCTTTGCAGGTGGAGAATCAAGTTCCACATCATTCTTCCCATTAGGCATAGGTAAATCTGAATGAAATATTTGAATTTCTGTTATATTCAAGAATAAGCTATGTTATTGATGTTTTCCTCATACATATTAAAGTTTATACTTTTTTTTACTACTTATCAAAGAAATATACTAAAGCTTAAACACAAAACATAATACTTCCATGGTGCCATTGAAAACAGAATTTCTCCTTTGTCCAAAGCTTGGTCACTGACTAAAGTGAAACTGTAAGCTGTGGTACATGAACAAGAAATTCTATCTATTCAATAGATAACTGGAATCAGGGTTGAAGTCCACAGAATACATCATATTAAGAATAAATTACTGCCGAACCAGTTTGGCTCAATGGATAGAGCGTCAGTCGAACTGAAAGATCCCAGGTTCGATTCCGGTCAGGGGCATGTGCCTTGGTTGTGGGCATATCCCCAGTAGGTGGTGTGCAGGAGGCAGCTGATCGGTGACTCTCTCTCATCGATGTTTCTAACTCTCTGTCCCTCTCTCTTCCTCTCTGTAAAAAAATCAATAAAATATATT